AATTTATATTATCATATCTCTCTGGTATATCCTAGTCCAATAAATTTAACAAAAATATCTCCTTTTAATATCTTTTTGCTGTTTTTTTTTAGGTGTTTTTATCAAGATCTGTTCCATATTTATAGCCTAAAAATATTCATATTTATATCTCTCAATTTTCTAGTTAAAGGCATTCAAATTGTGTCAAGGAAAAGCTGGCTAATCCTGTCGCATCAAGCAGCTGGGCCAAAGAAGCCTTCAGAAACTTCAACCAAGGCCGCAATTCATTACAGTCAAGTGCCTCAATAACCCATGTTTCGGTAGCTTCATGGTCCGGTTTTGTAGGTTGGCGCTTATCGTTCCATCAATATAAATCACAACAAAAGGCTTTTGGCCAACTGCCTTTTGACAATGTTGGCTTTCATTATGGCCGGCGGCAACAGCAACGGCCCAAACGCATCCTTTGTGCCATCCATTGTTCCGCAGGGACTGTTAGCTTTTGATGGATGCGTTCCAACAACAGAGCCAAAGCAGCAGCAATTCCAGTAGCCGCAGCAGATGTTTGACTTTACAAAAAGGAGCTAGAGCCAACGTCTGGTCATGATGCATCCATCATTCATTCACTTATACTTAACGGCGTCAACACATGGACACCAGGCCGAGGACCTCTTTGTGGCAGATGCCTTAACTTTAAAATTTATGCTATTAAGTGTTAATTGTGTAATATTAACTGAGTTATGGATAGCAGTTACTTAAGCTAAGCGCAGTAACAGAGCTAAAGGAAAGTATTTAGAGGGAATTACAGGATACAGTCGATGATAAAAGTACTTTGACCACAGCAATTATATGTACGTCTGAGTATAACTTTTAAAAAAATTTATGAAAATAATTGTCTAGGTAATACATTTAGATTTTGTCGAAGTTCATCCTCAAAATGTTAATCGTCTAAAATGAATATAAAATATATATTTTCTATAATATATTTTCTATAATTTATATATAATGGAAATATTCTTCCATTTCACTTTAATCTAGAAAAAAAATAATAATAATAATAATAAGTAAGGGAGCTCTCGATTAGTCGAGATTGCTCGACTAGCAGATACCTTGAACCCTGCCAGCTAATATTCTGAATGTTCTGCACTGCTAACAGACACACTCAATCGTGATGATTCTGCACTTTTTTATGCACACATACACACATATGCATCCACACGCACGCATAAGCCCGCACTCTGCTAACTGCAAGGGAAAGACACTTTTACAGACAAACCGAAACGGTTAACAGTTATTTGCAAACTATGGTTGCTCACTGTTAAAAGACAAAGTAGGTTGCGCAACACTGTTAAAAGACACAGATGCAAAAGTAAAAGTGGTCAAG